GTACATTGTTGAAAAACCTGCATCACAATTTGCAACTGTCTGGACACAATCTGCACAGATGAGATTGTAAGAGCATGTAAAGACATATCATGGATGTAGACGTGTATTATGAGGCTTGTGGGTGCAGCCCTGTGAGACACGCCCATGAATATGGGGGTTCGTCCGGGAGAGTAGTCTATGTTCATTTTATAACACTACGTCTATGCAAATGTATAGTTGTCCCTTCCTAAGCTTTTGCTTAGGTTCTCCACCATCTTAGACACCTACTCAAGTCCTGAGAATAAACTAGAGGTTCTGGGTATAAGGAGCACATGACTCTCTCCTCTGCTTGCCATGATGCAGCGTGCACAGCCATGCACCTGGTTTGAGTGTTGTCTCATAGGGCCAGGCATAGGATTCTATGTGAGCTCCAACACAGAGCCAATTGTGCTCAGTCCAGCTCTGTACTGGGCGGTGAGACTGGCCATACCCACAGAGCATTGATTGTAGCCAATCTGAAATCCTGCACTAGGTCCAGGAGTCCGTCACTTCCACATTTGTTTCCTGCATTGGAAACTATTGTTAGATTTTGTATTATGTTCCATCCGGCGACTTATTTATTCTTATTGTCTGTAGTTTACGTCTGCTGAACCTGGACAGTAACGGTATCACCGCAGTTCCGTATCTACATCAGTCTGAGAGCTGCCGGCGGGGAGGAGAGGCTGAGCACATGGACACAGAAGTAAAGGGCAACCATAGGACAACAGACATGAGAGACGGAGACAATTCTCTGTCTGAGGGGATGGAGGAGAAGATAGACTACATGGTCCTGCCCAGCACTAAAGATCCCGACAGGACAGGTGAGTGACCCGCAGTCCATTAATGTCTATGACGAATGACCCTCAGTCCCCTCACCTCTATGGCAAGTGACCCTCTACCCCTCAGCTCTATGGTTAGTGATGCTCTGCACTGTCACCTCTATGATGAGTGACTTTCTGTCCCGTCACCTCTACGATGAGTGACCCTCTGTCCCGTCACCTCTACGATGAGTGGCCCTCTGTCCAGTCACCTCTACGATGAGTGGCCCTCTGTGTGGTCACCTCTACGATGAGTGGCCCTCTGTCCCGTTACCTCTACGATGAGTGACCCTCTGTCCCGTCACCTCTACGATGAGTGACCCACTGTCCCGTCACCTCTTTGATGAGTGGCCCTCTGTCCCGTCATCTCTATAATGAGTGGCCCTCTGTCCCGTCACCTCTACGATGAGTGGCCCTCTGTCCCGTCACCTCTACGATGAGTGGCCCTCTGTCCCGTCACCTCTACGATGAGTGGCCCTCTGTCCCGTCACCTCTACGATGAGTGGCCCTCTGTCCTGTCACCTCTACGATGATTTCCCTTTAATAGGCCTTTTATTAACTCTATTTTTTGTTGTTTGCAGAAGTGATATTCCCCTCCGTCCAGAGCGCCGCTCCTTCTGATCCCCTCCCAGTAAGTATTATGGAGCAAATCAAAGAAAGAAATTTGCTATTGACCCGTCATTTTGGATGATTAGTAAAATCTTCAACAAGGGGACGGACAGAAATATGGTAGCCTTCGCCTTCTAGAGAAACCTTTTTATTTCCGTCTGTGTTACTGTTGAAACGTTCCCCTCACTTCCTGTAAACCGTTGTCAGCAGGAGAGGAAGTGAGGGGAAATCTTCAGAAGGCAGTAAACCCCGTGAAATAGGCCTAACGGAGCCTCTGTGCTTCTCTATGCAATGCAGGGATAGAGAAGCACATGGTGAGGAGCTCACAGTGTGCAGTGAAATCAGAGGAGGCCATTTCAGTCCAGGAGAGGAGCCGGTACCACAGTGCCAGAACTTCAACTCATTTGTAGGACGTTTCTCTTACGTCCAGCTCCTCTCCCCGCTCCTCTGACTGGCTGGTCATGGTCTTCGTTCTTCCTATACTCATCATATTATCCTTCTGTATGACAGGAGCCCCCAGAGACCTCCATCAGCTCCTCTATCCTGCCCAGCTTCCTGATGTCCTACACAGAAGAGCTGATCCAGTCCTTCTCCCCTCCATTGCCGAGCCTGACAACCCTCAGCCTGGCTGACAACAAGGTATGTGCAGACATGGAGGATGAGGCGGCATCCAGACTGTATTTTATCTCCGGACGTTGTGCCTTATATCCTAAAAGATGTCTCTGTATATCCCCGTAAGGGAGATTCACACTCTCCATTTGTCCTGGTGACCGTTATCACTGAAAGTGAAAGAAAATCCCTAATTTTGGGTTGTCACCAGAATAGGAAGAGATGGGAAATCTTCCAATGGGGACACTAGTTTTCGGCTATCCCTCACTTTCAAGGGATTTCCTCTCGCTTCCTATTGTGGCTATTGGACAGGAAGTGAAGGGAAATCTCCCCCCCCCCCAAAAAAAAATAATCTGGCAGTGGTTATAACCCTCTAGTACTTTGGAAGTTTTCGCTTCATTTCTACTTGAAGACATGAAGTTTATCAAACATGGACTCTGATTGGTCACTGGACTAACCCGGAATTAATTAGCAGTAATTGTACTTTCCTTTGTATTAAAGTCTATGTAGACCCCATCAATGAACGTCTCGTATTTGCTCCCTTTTGGTCAGTTACATATCCCATCGGAAGCATTTTGTTACATCTGTTCTTGTGAGCCGATGGCTTCCTGTGCTGCACTGTTATCAGTCACATTGTTCCCGGCTACATCTGATGACTACAGAACCCCTCCTGTCTATGGTACGTAGGTTCAGACCTTCGGATATGTAGTCCTTTCCATTGAGCGAATCTGGACCTCGATGATGCCACGCAACTTGAGTAAGGGAAACCCTTCTCAAAACGCGTCAGTAAGGTTTGGTCCGGTTGGAGGAACCCTGCTTCCTCTCGGCCGCTGCATGCTGTGCTGTGCACACTTTGACAGCAGGTCCCTGTGAGCAGATCCCAGCATCCTAGACACCATCCAGCTTTAACCCCCCCGTCGCTGGTCATGGCTGGAGTTGGGTAAGGGGGTCTCAAGCGGCGATCCTACACCATTGCTGCGCTCTCTGCCTTGTTATGCTGCAGTTGGATGGCTTGTATTTAGATCAGGGTTGGACAACCTGTTATGAAACTACAATTCCCATGAGGCATGGCAAGACTCTGACAGCCAGCGGCATGATGGGATCTGTAGTTAAAGCACAGCTGGAGGGCCGGAGTTGCCCCACCGCTGATTTGGATGGAATTCATTTTTGTTACAATGTGATTTTTTTTATTTTTAGATCACTCACGAAGAGGACCTGTTGGCTGCGGCTCTCTTCCCAGCATTGGAGGAGATCGTGATCCATGGGAATCCACTGACCACACGCAGGAAAGGTAAAGGAATCCCAACGGTGGTGATCGTCCGAGCTGATACACTGAGCGCTCTATGAGCTGCAGACTATATCTAAGGTGTGACCGGACTCGGCCATTTGTATTAAAGAGAACCTTCCACCGATCTGACAACATTCTAATCTTCTAAGCTGAAGTTTTCCTCTGGCCTCGCTTCTCCCGTGCCGCCATCTTTAATCTTGGTGCATTGGGAGCCCCCTGATGACATGCCACTAGATCCCGTGCATGCGCATACAGAGATCTGGCCGGCTGTCGGTTTAGGACTTGTTGCCATTGTATCAGCAATGCCAATGGGCGGTCGCGGTACGGCGCTGCCAGTACACAAGCTTTAGTGAGAAGAGGGGAATCTTAGCAAAAATCCCCGCAGTCTTCTGGGATATATGACCAAGGGGCTGAGGGTGGCTCAGGATGCGCCATGCACACCGAGGCGAAGTAGGAGGGTGTCAGAGCTTAAAAAATAGATACCGAAAAAGGTAAATTACTAGTTATTGAATTTTAATCTGGAGGGGGAGGAGTCCAATGAGCTCAATGTATAAAAAGGTGACAGGTCCACTTTATAAAATACCATAAACACCTAATTCAATTCCTAGATTCCAGCTGCCACAAGGAATGGTCACTTCACACATGGAGATCAATTGGAGCGGATCTACGGTGTCCTGCTAGTGCCATCTAGTGGTCAGTGCTATAAATACACCAAGAGTCCTTTTCCTTCAATACAGAGAATACATGATTCTATATTATATACCTCTGTATCAGTGGGGGCCAACTTTCTCCATACAGGGGTCCTCAAGAAGAGCCCCTGACATGACCAAAGGGCCACACATAGAATTCTATAGGAGATAGTCAGAGACTGAATACATAGTACAGGAGATGGTCAGAGACTGCAGACATAATACAGGAGATGGTCAGAGACTGCAGACATAATACAGGAGATGGTCAGAGACTGCAGACATAATACAGGAGATGGTCAGAGACTGCAGACATAATACAGGAGATGGTCAGAGACTGCAGACATAATACAGGAGATGGTCAGAGACTGCAGACATAATACAGGAGATGGTCAGAGACTGCAGACATAATACAGGAGATGGTCAGAGACTGCAGACATAATACAGGAGATGGTCAGAGACTGCAGACATAATACAGGAGATGGTCAGAGACTGCAGACATAATACAGGAGATGGTCAGAGACTGCAGACATAATACAGGAGATGGTCAGAGACTGCAGACATAATACAGGAGATGGTCAGAGACTGCAGACATAATACAGGAGATGGTCAGAGACTGCAGACATAATACAGGAGATGGTCAGAGACTGCAGACATAATACAGGAGATGGTCAGAGACTGCAGACATAATACAGGAGATGGTCAGAGACTGCAGACATAGTACAGGAGATGGTCAGAGACTGCAGAAATAATACAGGAGATGGTCAGAGACTGCAGACATGCTACATGAGATGGTCAGAGACTGCAGACACGGTACAGGAGATGGTCAGAGAGTGCAGACATAGTACAGGAGATGGTCAGAGACTGCAGGCATAGTACAGGAGATGGTCAGAGACTGCAGGCATCGTACAGGAGATGGTCAGAGAGTGCAGACATAGTACAGGAGATGGTCAAAGACTGCAGACATAGTACAGGAGATGGTCAGAGTCTACCCATCATCAGTCACCTCCTCCCATGATACACATTTCCAGCTCGGATGGAGGAACGGAGCCGCAGGGACCACTATAAGTGGGTTGGGCTTTCAAGTTGACAGAATCTCTTGAAGTTTTAAAATCCCATTTTCTTATCGAACAGGAGATCCGCACTTGCTGAAGAGCTTCCTCCAACAACGCCTCGGAGTGAAAATCACCCGGAAAAAAATGGCGCCAGTCAAAAAACCTCATCTGGAGATCCCCATAATCGGTAGGTCACCACACACGTCCCCAAAATCCCTAAGCAGCCTCTGATGATAGAGCCGCCACTACATCCCTTCCTGAGACTGTTTGGTCATGAGAGTGACATCACAGGACGCGTGATGTCATCCAGTCCTCTCCCTCCAATCAGAACGTCTTCAGAGAGAGCGCAAGACACAGCCAGGGGGTGGAGTCAGGAATCCAGCGGGACACCGGAGACATCAGAAGAGGAGATGAGTTTTGGCTCCGAACCTGCCGCTGAGTCTGTCTTCATGACGCAGGTCAGTGTCCGACGTCTTATAATACAAGGTCCTCTTCAATATCATTTCATCAAATTGACACATTTTAAAGTCTTTATCGTGCCATCATTTCAGAATGCTATCCAATATATAGAGCTATAGGAGCGCCATCTAGTGGTTCTCTGTATGTCAGACTGTGCAACCAGCACCCTTGCGGGACACCAGTCAGGAGATGCCAATTACAGAAGACACAGTTCGTAGTTTGGTATTGGTGCACTAGATAGATTAAATGTACAGGCTATGCACAGGGAGGGAGGAGGAGGTGGAGGGGTTAATGTACAGGTCATACACAGGGAGGGAGGAGGAGGTGGAGGGGTTAATTTACAGGCCATGCACAGGGAGGGTGGAGGGGTTAATTTACAGGTCATACACAGGGAGGGTGGAGGGGTTAATGTACAGGTCATACACAGGGAGGGAGGAGGAGGTGGAGGGGTTAATTTACAGGTCATACACAGGGAGGGAGGAGGTGGAGGGGTTAATGTACCGGCCATGCACAGGGAGGGAGGAGGAGGTGGAGGGGTTACATAGTATTTGAGGTTGAATAAAGACATTAGTCCATCAAGTCCAACCTATTAATTACAGGGTTAATGTACAGGTCATACACAGGGAGGGAGGTGGAGGGGTTAATGTACAGGCCATACACAGGGAGGGAGGAGGAGTTGGAGGGGTTAATGTACAGGTCATACACAGGGAGGAGGCGGTGGAGGGGTTAATGTACAGGCCATACACAGGGAGGAGGGGTTAATAGGCAGATGCGCAGGGTAAGGGAGGTGAGGGGTTAATGTACAGGTCAGATCAGAGACACGATGAAGCTGACATATACTGTAGAGGGGTGAATGGGCACTGGTACTGGAAGACATTGATACTTATTTATCATTGTCATCCAGCCAATGGGTGCATGAGAGGTAAGTGCTGCCCGCAGCCATTGTTTTCTATCTCTACTGCTGTGATTGGTCACAGCGATCACATGGTACACTCTCATTGGCTTGGAAAATGGTAAAATGAAATGATATTGGTGAACCATAGTGTCTTTGCACTGTATTTATCACTGAGACTTTACTCAGGGGCGGAGTTATACCCTATACAGGTGGATGATCTGCCGGACCCCCCACCCTGCTCCAGCTCAGTCACCGCCCATGAGGAACAAGACGTGAATATCAGCCAGAACCTGGAACATACGGAGATCCCAGAGAAGTTCCGGGGCTACGAGGAGTTCTACCAAGTGAAGACCGACCCTGATTTCATAGAACCCGTCGGTGAGTTCTGCCGTTCACATCCGGAGAACATGATTGGCTTTCGATGGCTACAAGTATTGCTCCTGATTTCAAGCATCACTAAGAGGAAATGGCTTAACAATAGCCATAGCAGCACATGTGGCTGCCTTGGGGGCCTGGGGGTGGAGGGGGGCCCCATTTGTGACTGCCAAGGCAAATTAAATAGATAATCTGCATGTAGATATCACATATCTATCAGTGTTTTATTAAGCATTCCAGATGTTAACACTGACCCTGAACCCCCTGTGACCTCTGCACCTCCTGTGACCCCCCCTCTACCCCTGTGACCTCTGAACCCCCTGTGACTCCTGCCACAATCCCAATCAGGAAGAGCTGATGTCAGATGTACAGGAGGAGACTTCAGGATGGTTGTCACTAATCACAGATCCCTTTCATCAGCCAAGGAGCATAAGAATTTATTTTGCTCCTCAGCGCCATCTAGCAGCTGTAATGTGAATGGTAATCGCCAGGGGTGTAACTAGAGATCACAGGGCCCTAGGGTTGCCACCTGTCCAGGATTCACCCGGACAGTCCGGGTTTTGAATGCTGTGTTCGGGTTTCATGGCAGCAGAAACCCGGACACGAGATGTCAGGCAGACAGAGGCAACCAAAATTAAGATAGGGGCTACTGGCCCCCCACTGAAAATAGTCTCACCTGTAATATTTGCATATGAATGGGTGGCGCTATTTAGATATGAATAAGCCACGACTAATTTTCCCCAAAGATTCTCTGCGCGTCTCTAGAGTGTTCGGGTTTCGCTTGAAGAAAAGGTGGCAACCCTACAGGGCCCCATAGCAACATTTTGTATGGGGCCCTTTGATTTCTAGTTACACCCCTTGCAGAGCCCACCTGAGATCCCACGCAGCCCACCTGAGAGTGACCATGCAGAGCCCACCATAGACTCCTCCTCTACAGCTGAGGTCAGCTCTTCTTGATTGGAAATGTAACAGAGGATGATGGGTGTCAACAGCAGCTCCTTCAGTCCTGAATGATACAATGATTGGATTTGTGTTCTCTTCACATGCACACAGATTTTCTGTTTAATTTGCCTCACGATGGGCCTTCCACTCCCAGACACCACACCAGCCGCGTAGGCTGCTATTGCTATTGTTGCACCATTAAATGTGTATTTGCACCTGTATGGGAGCAGCTGGTAAACTGGATGAGCTGTGATAATTCGCGTGCAATGGGAAAACAACCCATCAATGCGTGTCTTTGTATCTGTGACCTACATACGAAAAGATAACTTAATTCCTGGGTGGAGCACGCAGGTAGGAGGATACTGGTGCTCTGTATTTTCTGGAACTGCACACTGAAACATTTGACGTACCTGATGAATAGACGGCAGGAAATAGAGGAAACGTAATCGGGTGCATTTCCCAGAACAGGGAAGAAAGGTTTCTTTCAGTTTGGGAAGCCGCTGGGAACTACGATATAGAATGCGTCAAAGTCAGGTATTCCCCCCACATGTCTGTGTTAGTTTAGCCATTTAATGTAACGCCAACACTTTTATGGGAAGCAGATTTTCCTTCAAAATGATGGCGGCGTAAAAGGCAACGGGCAAAAACCCCACAGCAACCAATCAGCAGTTGTTTTTGGCATTCTGGGTACCCTGAGCTGATAACTGGGGAATTTAAACTGGATCTAGCATCAGATTAATGTTTTCATGCTGAGTGCAGCATTCTAAGTCATGTGTCAGCGTAACACTTCCAGGTATTTATTACCGATCACAGCAACCCCCTCCTGACAATAACATCATTTGCTTTTCTCTCCCGGACGGGGCCATATTTTCTCTGGCGTCATCCAGGGTCACCGTCCACGTCCTGGACTGAAAGATTACATAATCATGTAAATCCTGGTGCCTGAGTTCTATCAAAGATTGTGACTGGGTTGGAATGTGTGACTGGTCACGTGGTTGCACATTTTAACCTAATCACACCCACTTTTTCGGCGGTGAAATATGTGACCGGCAAAAGGTGAAGAATTCCAACGCTTTCTTGGCTGTTGCAGGGCAGATCGGCATGGCAGATGGTATGTGCAGGAGAACCGATCTGCCCTGGAACAGCTGATCGGTCCTGAAATGTAACTTCTATCCGACTCTGTGGAATGTCAGATCGCACTCGCAAAGTCACATTTCAGGACCGATCAACTGTTCCAGGGCAGATTGGTTCTCTTGCACATACCATCTGCCATGCCGATCTGCCCTGGAACAGCTGAGAAAGCGTTGGGATTCTTCACCTTTTGCCGGTCATATATTCCCCTGCCGAAAAAGTGGGCGGAGTTAGGTTAAAGTATGACCACGTCACCGGTCACACATTCTAACGCAGTCACAACGTTTGATAGAACACCTGCACATGTTAAATGGGAAACCCCATCAATTCACTAATGTCTGACACAGATCAGATGACACTCCGGACATCACACATGTGCTAAGCACATTCTCTTGTGGTTGAACAGCAGATTGTAGAAGTTTTTCTGTTAAAGAACTCCAGTTAAAAAATATATATTAACGCCTGCAGTGGGGCTCCATCCAGCACTGCGAGGGTTAAGTGCTCATTTCTCTAAGTTGGGCAGCTGAAACAGCGCCCCCTTCAGCCAGTTTCCTCCTCCGCTGCAGCGATGGTATGTGTGTCAGCATCCTCATGTCCTATACACTATATTAGATGTGATGACTGGAGGATCCTAAGGCCTCATTCACATGAGAATCGTCCCCCACGTACAGCTCCGTGCACGGCCGTATCGGGCAGCTCCCGGGAAGGACAGGTGCTGCGTGTGATTAGTACGCAGCCCCCATCCTGCTCTATGGGACTATGTGGCCGTGCGCCGCCCTACGCTCACCCGCCCTGCACGTCCGTACGGGTGCAGGTGAGCGTACTCGTACGCTGACAGGATGGAACCTGTCTGCGTCTCAGCCGGGACACCTGCACCCGTACGGACCTGCACTTGAGGTGAGCGCAGGGCGGTACGGCCGCATACTCCCATAGAGAAGGACGGGAGCTGCGTACTAATCACACGCAGCACCTGTCCTTCCCGGGAGCTGCCCGATACGGCCGTGCACACAGCACGGAGCTGTACGTGGCGGACGATTCTCATGTGAAAGAGGCCTAAGACAGCGCTGCAGCGGAGGGGGTGAGAGGCTCCAGGGACTGGTCGAAAGGTGCCCATACACCTGCCAATTATCGTACCATAATCGCTCGTACGACAATCGGCAGGTGTATGGGCAGCGTGCGACCGCATCAACTGTACGGTCGCACGACTTTCATCTTCCTAGCACGCTGGAAAACCAGCCGAAAATCTTACGATTTTTGGTGGGTCGTTGGCGTGCTTGGAAAGACGCACGGGCCGGTGTGCGCAACCGCACACTGCCCGCTCAGCATTGCAATCGTCGCAAGTACGATCTGTCTATCCAACGAAAGTCGTGCAATGGTTGTAAGGCGTATGGCCAGCTTAAGAGTAAGCCGGCTTCTAGGATCAGGTGAGCATAACTTGTTTTTAATGCTAATCACAAAAATTGCAGTGAACCATTGCCGTGCCGAAGGGCGGCGCACGGCCGCATAGAGCAGGATGGGGGCTGCGTACTAATCACACGCAGCCCCTGTCCTTCCCAGGAGCTGCCTGATACGGCCGTGCACGCAGCACGGAGCTGTGTGTGCCGGACGATTCTCGTGTGAATGAGGCCGAAGACAGCGATGCAGTGGAGGGGGCGAGAGGCTCCAGGGACCGGCCACTGCGAGGGTTAATGAAATTGTGAATTGTTGAATCATTGTGGCTTGAGCCCTTATACGCCACCATCTGTTTTTGGTACAATTTCAGTTCTGCCTTAACATGTTTCCAAAATAAATCCCAACTCACCAGATCACAAACTAAAGGCATCTAAAAATAAGAAGCTCTGGGTCCGAATTCAAAGCATTTCTACAGCCCAAACCAAAAACAAAATCTGTAACAGCTTACCAGGTGTTAGATGTGGCGCTTGCATTCGTTTACGGTTTTCAGGCTAAAGCTGCCCATACACCTTATGAATATTGGCGTTTTCGTCCGATATCCGTAAGGTTGATGGGCAGTGTACAACCGCAAATACTGTACAATCCATCGACTTTTGACTATCCAGCAGGTTAGAGAACTTCGGCCGATCGTACGATTTTCGCAAGGTTGGTGGCGTTTCCGTACGTCAAAACTCGTACATCTACACTGCACATGCGCAGACGAAAATACGTGCGGTCGATTACCGCAATTCCTACAGGTGCTTTCTTCTAATTACCGCGGATCCAACCTTGTGATAATCGGGGCAGGATGGGGCCGCCGTATGAACATCGCACAGCGCTTCAATCATCGGACGCAAAGTGTCGTCCGATGATACTGTGACCTCTGCACCTCCTGTGACCCCCCCTCTACCCCTGTGACCTCTGAACCCCCTGTGACTCCTGCCACAATCCCAATCAGGAAGAGCTGATGTCAGATGTACAGGAGGAGACTTCAGGATGGTTGTCACTAATCACAGATCCCTTTCATCAGCCAAGGAGCATAAGAATTTATTTTGCTCCTCAGCGCCATCTAGCAGCTGTAATGTGAATGGTAATCGCCAGGGGTGTAACTAGAGATCACAGGGCCCTAGGGTTGCCACCTGTCCAGGATTCACCCGGACAGTCCGGGTTTTGAATGCTGTGTTCGGGTTTCATGGCAGCAGAAACCCGGACACGAGATGTCAGGCAGACAGAGGCAACCAAAATTAAGATAGGGGCTACTGGCCCCCCACTGAAAATAGTCTCACCTGTAATATTTGCATATGAATGGGTGGCGCTATTTAGATATGAATAAGCCACGACTAATTTTCCCCAAAGATTCTCTGCGCGTCTCTAGAGTGTTCGGGTTTCGCTTGAAGAAAAGGTGGCAACCCTACAGGGCCCCATAGCAACATTTTGTATGGGGCCCTTTGATTTCTAGTTACACCCCTTGCAGAGCCCACCTGAGATCCCACGCAGCCCACCTGAGAGTGACCATGCAGAGCCCACCATAGACTCCTCCTCTACAGCTGAGGTCAGCTCTTCTTGATTGGAAATGTAACAGAGGATGATGGGTGTCAACAGCAGCTCCTTCAGTCCTGAATGATACAATGATTGGATTTGTGTTCTCTTCACATGCACACAGATTTTCTGTTTAATTTGCCTCACGATGGGCCTTCCACTCCCAGACACCACACCAGCCGCGTAGGCTGCTATTGCTATTGTTGCACCATTAAATGTGTATTTGCACCTGTATGGGAGCAGCTGGTAAACTGGATGAGCTGTGATAATTCGCGTGCAATGGGAAAACAACCCATCAATGCGTGTCTTTGTATCTGTGACCTACATACGAAAAGATAACTTAATTCCTGGGTGGAGCACGCAGGTAGGAGGATACTGGTGCTCTGTATTTTCTGGAACTGCACACTGAAACATTTGAGGGCCCCTTTCAAACCACAGGCCCCATAGCAGCCACGTGGGCTGTTATGGCTATTGTTGCACCAATGGGCAGATGATCATTCTAATCATCTCAGACATGTGGCTGTGACCAGTTGTGGGATCTGAGGTAGAATGGGATCTATCACTTGTAGTAGGGATGCACCGATACCGTTTTTTCCCCCCGGTACTCGCCGATACTGAGTACTAAGTACTGGTACCTTGTGCCCTGATTACCAGGAAGTCGGGGCGGCGGATCATGATCTGTCGCCCGGCTTCCTGATTGCCTGTGAAGCGGGTGTTTTAGCGAAAGGACACCGGCTTCACTTGCCGAGGCTGGCTGGCTTCCTGACCAATCAGAAAGCCGGGCAGGCAGTCACGAGGTGCCGTCCGGCTTTCTGATTGGCTAGTAAGCCGGCCTCACTTGTTTCTGTGCAGCGTGGCTTCCTGACCAATCAGGAAGCTGGGACGCGAGTCATGACGTGCCGCCCGGCTTCCTGGTTGGTTAGGAAGCCAGGCTGCATAACAACAAGTGAAGCCGGCTTCCTAGCCAATCAGGGAGGTGGCTCCCGGCTTCATGTTTGGAAAGGAAGCTGGCTCCATGCTCCCTCAGCACTGCCGGTCAGAAGTAGCTCTTCCTCTGACTGGAACTTCTATTATCGAAGCATTTGGGTGACTAAGAGTGCTCGCCCCAAATACTCTGTATCGGCACCAATACTAGTATCGGTATCGGTGCATCCCTAACCTGTAGGATAGGCAGTAATCCTGACTGAAGCTTCTCTGTGCATTGCAGGTATACAGAACAATGTACGCGCTCTGGAGTACGCCCTGAAACACATGCTTGTGTACCATGATTGTGAGCCCAGACTGGGCAGCATTCAGAAGCCGCACATCCCTCGGGAGAGCCAGGTAATCTCTGCCAATCCACGGTGTGTGTAATGAGCCCCAACATGTGACCAGTGCTCCGTATGCTGCTCTAGATAGACATGAGTATTGCAGGTATATGCAGGAGGGGCCACCGATAGGGGGGGGTACAGCCAGCCCTTTTGTACTGGGCCCAAGCACCATCACATCAGCCCCAGGTTCGTCTTGGAAGTAGTAGATCTCGGGCTGCCACTGGATCCACCCAAGGAAAAGCGGCTCGTCCACCTAACTCGCTGGCTGTCCTTGACTCTACAGTGACAGCCGACCTCACTGGCCCCCTGAGCTTGTCGTTCATTGGTCATGCTGTGGACAGGAGGAGGGGGTCTCAGGCTTTCATTGGTCAGGGAAGTTGTCTGTTAGACCCACGCTGGTCCGGCCAGTGCCTCTCACCCAGCAGCTCAGTGAGTTGTAGAGAGTGTCCGGGACTAGCAGGGCTGTGTCACCTTGGGCAGGAATGTGAGTGGCCCCCCTGAGTAATGGGGAAGGGCTTGGGCCCTGGATATATACTGCAGTCACCTCCCCAATTGTCTGTCCACCCCTAATTGGCTGACCCAGGCATAAGATGTAGTGGGGTCACCTTCCGTCACCTAAGCAGATGTCTGAACTGACATCTAGGGCCTGTATGTACTATGGCAGGGGTGGGGAACCTTTGGCTCTCCAGCTGTGGTGAAACTACAAATCCCATGAGGCATTGCAAGATTCTCACAGCCATAGGCATGACTCCCGGAGACAAGTGCATCATGGGAATTGTAGTTTCACCGCAGCTGGAGGGCCGGAGGTCCTACACCCCTGTACTATGGTGTTGCAGCAACAGACATAACACAAGTGTGTACAATGCAGTGACATCCATTCTGAAATGCACCCTGCAGGAAACACGTGTTGCGGTGCGTTAACTCCCCTTCGCTGGCAACAAAATGGTACATGCACTATGTTTTGGCAAATGCGGCCCCACATAGAGTATTTGTATAAATAGCCAAAACCATCAGGTATGTTTCACATGTTAACACAAAGCTTTGCTCTGAAACTACAGTATGTATTAAGAATTCCAAAGTTTCGTCATCTTTTTATTGACAGCTTCAGAAAGAGCTTCATCCCTCACCATGGAAGAGCAAGAAGGAGGTCCTAGCCGATGTCCTGACCACTATGAGAGAACAGCGCCATCTAGTGGAGGTTCCTCTGGGTAGGTGGTCATCCTTTACCTGCACTTGGGTACATCTTCTGGTTACCGAGTATTAGTCCATTCTTCAAACAATTCCTATTATTGCAGTAGTTGCTTATTACAAAGGCTTCCCATCCTATCTCCGCTGAGGTCTGTACACCTGCTGTGCCCATTGAGGGGCTCCCACCATCCCTGTGCTGAGTTCCCGGGTCTGTACTCCTGGGCCCATTATGAGGGGCTCCCGCCATCCCTGTGCTGAGTTCCCGGGTCTGTACTCCTGGGCCCATTATGAGGGGCTCCCATCATCCCTGACCTGAGTTCCTGGGTCTGTACACCTGCTGGGCCCATTATGAGGGACTCCCATCATCCCTGAGCTGAGTTCCCGGGTCTGTACACCCGCTGTGCCCATTATGAGGGGCTCCCACCATCCCTGTGCTGAGTTCCCGGGTCTGTACACCCGCTGTGCCCATTATGAGGAGCTCCCACCATCCCTGTGCTGAGTTCCTATGCAAAGGAGCTACATGGGAGACCCCGTGTACAAAGGTTTTAATCACTGTCTGACCTTGCTGTAAGTAGACTTCCTAGCTTAGTAGCATGGTAGGAATCACAGACTCAGAGATGCCCCGGTCTCTCATAACCTGGGCTTCAACAGCTAGGGTAGGTCCCGGACAACCTGAGCTCAGAGGAAGTGAGATGAATGATGCTTGACATCAGACTGAGGACAAACCGTCCCCTTCACTCCTCCCAAGACCTCCTGCCCTCTCATCACCTCCTCCCATGCTTACCTACAGGACCTCTCTAGAGCCTCTCCCATCTTCTGGAACTCCCTACCCCAATCTCTCCAGCTCTTCCCAAGACTTCCTGCTCTCTAGCTCCCTTCTCACCTCCTCCCATGCTAACCTCTAGGACTTCTCCAGGGCATATCCCATCCTGTGGAACTCCCCCAAACCTGTACGCTTCTCTCCTACTCTGTCTGCCTTTAGGTGAAAGCTGAAACCCATCGGGAAGTCCATCACACCTCTCACGAAATACTGAACATTTCCCATCTCCTTCAACTCGTCTCCTCAATTATAACCTTTTGTGTCCCTTGCCGCTCCTTTTTGGATTGTAAGCTCCCACAAGCAGGACCCCCCAAGCCCCTTGTCTTGAATTGTCTCCCTTTTATATTGTACACTGTCGGTGTTATAGAAGTCCTATACGATAATAATAATGTTCTTCTCCAGAATCCGCCTTGGAGAAGAATAAAAGCAGCAGAGAAAAGAGAGAGGCGAGGGGTTTGATGAAAGATCTTCATCAGAGATACGAGTTCTTACACTCACAAGCTGTGAAATGGGCGACCAAGCTGGAGGACGACCTTAAGAACACGGCCAAGGAACTGCTAGAGGCTCAGGGCAAACTAGGAGACATCCACAGGAAGGACCATCATGGACTGAGATGTGAACCGCACAGCCACTGACCTCCCGAGCTGATCAGCCCACCCCCGAGTGACCACTCGGCATGGGTACACTCCTACGAAGTACCTGAGAACACCATGGAGGTCGCCGTACTGTCAGCTGACCCTCTATACAGCCATTTGATTGGCTGGGACTTGATAGTATCAATATGGAGGAAGATGGATTCATAGGCTGGATGGTGGTCTCCTCTGAGTCCTCCGTGGTGGAGAGATACGTATGGCGCTCAGTGTTAAACTGTATCGAAACCCAAAAACACAACTGTAACATAGTGCAGCTTACCAGTCCTTAGATGTGGTGGCCGCATTATTATTACATATATACTTGTATTCCTTTTATCTTTACCCAGTGACTCTGCCAGTAACACACTTCCTGTCCTAGGGTGACAACATTTGGTCACTGTATTCTATCTATTAAGGAGCAGCATTGTCGCCAGGACAAGGTGTATTAGGCTCACAGAACACCCCTCCATCCCTCTCCTTATCCTAATAGCATTGAGGGATTGAAGTGCTCTGTAGTTCTCAGAGGTAACCTGTGCAGGGCATGCTTCTCTTGCAGTTGTGGAGTTTTGGCCAATCAGGTGGAGCTGGAGCTTTTTTTTTTGGTGCACCTAGTTTCCTCCTCCTGCAGAAAAAGTCCAAATTTGACAGTACTTGTCCTTTAAATGATTGGTGGGATTACAATGGACAGTGCTGTGCCAGAGCTGAATAACAAGATCTGAAGTCACCAGCACAGCAAATAAGGACCAATAAGACGATACAAAGTCACCTGACGAAGATACAAAGTCACCTGACGAAGATACAAAGTCACCTGACGAAGATACAAAGTCACCTGACGAAGATACAAAGTCACCTGACGAAGATACAAAGTCACCTGACGAAGATACAAAGTCACCCGACGAAGATACAAAGTCACCCGACGAAGATACAAAGTCACCCGACGAAGATACAAAGTCACCAGACGAAGATACAAAGTCACCTGACGAAGATACAAAGTCACCTGACGAAGATACAAAGTCACCTGACGAAGATACGAAGAAAATACTGGTGCCTTTGTATCTTCTTCTGGTGCCTTAGCATCTTCTACTGGTGACTCTGTATTGTCTTCTGGTGAATTCCTACCTTATTATTCGGTGAACATGTGCTGGAATCTTTGTACCTTAGTACTCCTCCTGCAGATGGCGCTATCTCCCTGGTTTCCTTGATCTATATGAGGGGCAAACTCCCTATGAGAGCAGACAGCAATAAAAAAAACATAACCTGACAGAGCCTCTGACCCTCCTGGGTCCTCTCCAGAAGGAATAAAACATTTTGTCTGGAGCTGAGCTTTAAATCTGTCCCATAGATTATTATCAGTTTACACAGATGAAGCGTGGAATCATGTTTCTGTTTTTTTGGTCAACGGCAAGAAAATAAAGACAGACGAGAGAACAAGATGTGTTGGGTATGAGGTGTACTGAGTGTCTCTTACAGCCCCGTACACACAGGCATTTACCAGTCTTGTAGCTCCCGTGCTGTAGAGGATCTCATTCAGCAAGTACCCCCTCTCTCCCCTCCCCCTCTTTCCCCCCCCTCTCATTAATTAATACAATTTTAAATAAAACTGTTCATTTTTACATTTTTATTTATTCCTTCACAAAGTCTGACATAAAGCAAAATGAGCAGGTGCAATTATAACAATGGGGTCTAGGGTGCTGATAATAAAGGACGTGACGCGGTGTTGTATAGATCCCAAGGCGTACATTGGGATGGTAATAGGCAAGATTGTAAAGAAATACAGAAGTTTGGGGAGCAGGGTCCTCTTCACTGCAAACATGCCGCCCAACCAAGATATGAGCAAATCATTCCAGGAGGACAAAGGGGTCTTCAGGAATTCAAAAAGAGGGGTACAGAGTAAGGGGGAGTCCTAGGAGCAGGTAAGGTATACATCTAAATATGGCAAAGATCTAGAAACCCAACAGAAGAGGGACAATGGAGGAGGGAACGGAGATGTCCAGAGCTTGGGACTTGCTGTGATTGACTACAGGACCAGATATGCCACCAAAGGCTCGCAAGGACATCGGGGGTTAAGGGCCGGTTCACACCACAGCATGGCTAGTGGCTGGATCGCATAGAGCAAGCCTCCCTATGTGCTGGTGTGGTGGTGCCATACATGTCAATGGCACCGCAGACACGCCTCCTGCCCGCAGTGCGATCGCCTGCACCAAAACATGTGGTACAGCAATGCCCTGCTTCCCAGTGTGGTGCGACCGCACAAAGTAAAGCATGACATGACCAGAACGCAGGGAGGACTGCCCTATGTCAGGGGTAGCCAAACTCCGGCCCTCCAGCTGCGGTGGAACTACAAATCCCATGATGCATCTCTCTCCGGGAGTCATGTCTGTGGCTGTGAGAATCTTGCAGTGCCTCATGGGATATGCAGTTCCGCCGCAGCTGGAGGGCCGGAGTTTGGCTACCCCTGCTCTATGGGATCCAGTGCGTTTCAGCCAATAACCGCGTCGGAACGCACTGGGTGTGGTATGAAGCGACCCCGAGTAAAATGTCTGTGGAAAAAACTAAACCTGATGGGACGCCGGCCACTTCCACGCCCTTCATGGAGGGGGCATTCCTAATGAGCATGGCCAGGATCAACGTCATGGAGGACAAGGGACATCCATGTCCAGTTCCCCTCATACACTACATGGTGCCGAGAAGTCATGTTGTAAGTCGCTCAGGCTGAGGGCTGATTGTACAAAGAGTCATGAATGAAAAACATGGCTGAAATGCCAATGACTTGTATCGCGTTGTATGGATGTGGATTCCTCGGAAGCATTTTGTCGGATTTACGTCTCTACGCATAAGGGGCTGTATACAAATACTGACATATATACCTGTGTACAGCCATTGACTTCTATGGGGGACTGTATGCAGTACCTCTGGACCAATGATCCGTGTGCTATAGTGAGAAGGGGCCCTAAATGCCACTTCTACTGCTAGGGGCCCATTTATAACGGAGAGTAAATTTTGCTATCCACTAATGTTAAAGATGCCCCCCACATTTTATGGCCCATTCATGAACGCAGGCCCGAGGTGAGGCGCTTGCAGTGTCCCATGGAGTTCTCTCCACTGATCGTGTCACATGACTGCAGGAGAGCTGGTCACATGACTTTGTCAGGTCATATGACTGGGCTAAAAAAAACTGGGTTTTTTTTTCTCCCTGTCAATTAATTTTTATGGCGCTTCACGATTTTGTTTTACTGCCGCTTTTTGATTGGCTCCCGGAATTTCTCAGACGTTTAAAAAAACAAAGACCTGGAAACGCGTCAACCTTTTCTACAGCTCTGCAATTTATCTGCTTCTGGCATTTCCTCTCCGGTGTGTCACCAGTCTGAGAAATGAGGACGGGGTGTTGTTTATAAGGGAAGGGGCTTGTTGGTGGCACATGGGTGTAAAGTGATGGGGAGCGGCCATTTATATTATATACTCCACCGCGTCCGATAATAGCGCGCTGTATCCCCGGAGGGAAAAGCTGCAGACCGCCGTGTACATACGTCATTTTCAAGGGTGAGGTGACCGAGGGATTCTCCAGCGCTGTCTGGCGGCTCGCCATCGTCATATAAATCCCCCTGACCGTTCATGCCGGGCACAGAACATTTGCTTCCCGTCCGCATAGACATCGGTCACCCCGAGTCACTACAGACGCCGACATATTGATGAGCGAGCAGCCAATGCGGCTGAAAACAAAACAGGCCGGAATACCGCTAGTGAAGTGATCGGGAACAGAACGGAGATCGTCCGATGAGGTGACAATTAACTGGCTTTCCTCTCACTTCTTGTTGTCTCTACAGGACAGGAAGTGGAGGGAAATCTCCCCAATGGGACACAGGCAGGAAATAAACATTGACGGGTTCTAAGCATCACTTGCTCTCTTTAAAATTAAAAAAAATGGGTTTTAGATCAATGTCATCGAAAAAATATCATTATATGTGTATCCAAACCCAATATAAAATGTCGTATATTGCGGCTCACCGATCCTTAGATGTGGCAGCTGTATTCCTTTATCATTCTAATGTCCCCTCCCCCACAGTCACATCAGTCTCTGTACAGAGGAGCTTAACCTCTAATGTCCCC